ACGCTGTACTCCATAAAGAACTCCTCAATGGTCTGGCGTTCAACCTCTGTCACTTGGCGATCCTGTTTGGTCAAGGCCACTGCAGTACTGGGGGCTACAAAAGATGTTGGACCGAGAAATAAAAAAACACAGCGTGAAAAGACACGAAAGCGAGCAACAATACTGAAGGAACTTTAAAAAAATAAACAAAAGCAATCGACGGAAACCGTCAATCCAGTCTTCAATTTCTTTGGCAGCAGTCCTTCTCTGCATTTACTATTAGTGTGACTGTCTACGGATCAAATCCCTAAGCACAACAGGACGAATAGGCTTCGTAGAGCAGCCTCTGTCATACCTAGAAAAGCAGGTATTTTAAGTGTACATCGAAATTTGACTATTTTCGGGCGACTTTCTGATTTAATAGAAGCCACAGGCTAGGCCTACTTGTTTGCACTCGTCCTTCTGTGAACTGGTATTAGTTTAAGCAAGAGACGGAAATTTTTGTTATGCATCTTCCCCCTCCCCAATTCCCAGGTGGTCACGAACATCTGAACGCCCGGTAATATATGGAAGTTTATGGTACATTCTAGGAAGCGCACCCATTCGAATGTCCTTTTTTACCTTAATTACGTACCTAAAGTCAAACTTAAGGATTCCGCTGAAATTTAGAGCAAAAACACTTGTATTACAGGGCATTCCTATTTTCGTGTCCAGCCGGGGGAAAGGGGTGGGAGGGGAGCATACGAAATCTACTTACAATGCAAGGAATTTGAACATAAATAGGGGACAGCTTTTTTCATTCGAGCACCCCCTTTCATGCCCAGAAAGGCTGATATTTTTAGTGAACAGTGAAATTCAACTATATCCGGGCAATTTTCTGTGCTGATGGAAGCCACAAACATTAATTTAAGTAGGAGGTGGGAATTCCTTACATACATTCCCTTCGCCAACTCCCAGCCGGCCACGAGCATAAGAGCGCCCTGTAATACGTTTGACCTTACGATAAATTCCGGAAAGATCATCTATTCCAATGTCCTGACTTTACCTTAAGTGCATACTTAAAGGCTGGAATTTAAAGCAAAGCAGGCAATGTGAACGTGAAAAAGGCAGGTTTCTCGATTCGAGTAACTCACGTGGGAGTACCCTCAAAAGATCACGTAGTTTTCAAGCAATCGGGATAAATGTAGGTTTTGTATGGTACCGCTATTGCAAAATCATTTGTTTTTTGACAAACTGGGCTACCTTTACTTGGAGGAATAAAAAAGCATGCAGAAGAATAATAGAGAAACTGGAAATTTCAGCGTCTGCATGTTAGAGTTCTATCGGCTACCGGGACTCCTAACAGACAATTCGACACAACTTCCATGTTGCTCCCAGCCAAATAAGCGCGACGTTAAGTCCAAAAAAAGATTATTACAAAGTACCTTCTTCTG